TTACACATTCTCTGTCTCATCTTCCGCAACAATAAACACACTGTATAACCCAACAAGGCAAGAAAACACAATGACTACATCTGAGGTTGCATTAACAAACACAGTGATCTGAGGAGTCTTCGCCGGCGGCCATCTTGTCGCAGATTAATGCCCTCATCACCATGAAGGACCACGGCGGTTCTGTGTTTTTTCTCAGAGGGGGAATGAGGCAGTAACACAGTCTGGACTCTGACCTGTTTTTGTTTTAAAGGAGTAATCTGCTTATTTTCTGTTCAACCACTGAGTCATTGATCACCTGGAGAGCTCGCCTCCACAGTTATACAGGGATGGGAAATATCAATAATATGCTGTTTGCTCCTAAAGTACAAGAAGTAGTTCTGTGCATAAAAAAACATTGTTTGAAGAAGATGTGATAAACTCTGCTGCACCTTAAGGCTGCTGCTCTGCTCTCTGAATCCAAACCAGCATCTCTCAGCAGCTGGACAGAGAGACGTCTGTAATGTCCAATAAAGGATTAGCCTGACCTGACAAATCATTCAGAGTCATGGCCGTTTGAGGAACTCTGTGATGCGGCCGAGCTTCAGCCGACTGCAGCTTCTCTGACCAGAGACACAAGACACAGGTTCACAATCAGACAATAAATAATGACTTTAGATTGTCCACATCTGACTTCCTGACTATTAATTGGGATGAAAGAAAGTCCATAAAAACATTCAAAGGACTCCTAAACAAAAACTATTTACAAAAGAACAAAGAAAGAAGATGGATATGAGAAAAACTTCATGAAATCAGATGAAAAGGAGAGAATGACGAATCGCACAAAATCATATAAGTAAGTGAGGACCAGAGAAGAACGTAATCTAAGATGTTTAGGATATAAAAACAAAGAAATAAACCGTCTGAAAAATGTATCGAGCTAAAGGAGCTAAAACGATCTGGCATTACTTCGAGAAAATTTGATTTTTATGAATTTATGAACAACAATCAGCTGCAGGAACATTCGGTTAAATAGATATATTTATTATAATATGTTTATTATATAGGAGAACAGTGAATAGATAGGCCATCACATTATTCTGTTAATCCATAAATATGGATGAGATTAACGGTGATGATGACATTCAAAGTTAAAATGAGACGGTTGATGTCGGACCTTTATTCAAACCAGCTGCTCTGGATAACTTTCCCTCTCAAGGAAATTATAAACTGAAATATTATAAAATTTGTAAATTCTATATATTTGTGATATTCATGTAAAAGTAGAACTTATTCAATGTTTTGACCAAACACAGACATCTGGAACTAGAGTGCACATTCTGGACTCTGTAGTTCTACCAAAATCCTTAAATCAGTAACTTAGAGGATGAATCCTAAATGGAAAGTTTCTCTGGAAACTATTTCATCAAACTAGAGCAAAAAATATTTAAACCAGAAATCAAACATCAGCTTATATTTTGCTCATGTTATACTAGGAATTTAATGCTGGACTTTAATGCTAAAGCACGAGCTCCGAGCCAGCTCCCATGTCAGAGGATGAAGAGAGCACATCCAGTTAGTCACAGTCAGAGAAACAGGACTACACTGGAAAACAGGCCA